CGTTAGGAATCGTGATCGGGAACCTAATAGGTCACACACAAAAGAGAACCAGAAGAATGAAATTTACCAATTAATTAATTGACAAGTGTTGGACAATTAATTAACTGAGTTGCTTATTAATAGGCCCGAATTAATTAATTGGATTAATTAATTCATGAACCAGATTTAATTAATTTGATTAATTAAATATCGGACTGGGTAAAGTCTAGATATGTGTCAGCCCACTTGAGCTTATATATTAATAAGCTATTAGGATTTGTAAACTGTATGAAATTTTCATTATTCTTGCAGCACAAGAAAAGTAAAACCCTAATTGTTATTCTTGTTCTCTGTGTGGATTATCATTGGAGGCTGGAAAATTGAACACATTGGATTGCAGATCGTGATCATTGGAGTTCGATAATTAGCAAAGAAGTTTGCTGAATTCATCAAATGTTTAATTCTTATCACAATTTCCATCTAAACACATTGCACATCGTTAGTGAAAATTGAAAATTATATTATTTTCGCTGTACATAATTAAGTAAATTCCCAACATGTACAACATCAGTCAAAAGTTTAGTGGAAGATAGTTCCAAGGAGGAAAAAAATATGAAATTTGACTTAGCTATCTTATTATTTTAGAAAAACGAAAACGAAATCAAACGCAGACCACCTCATTCATCAAAAAGTATTTACGTAAACGTCGCCTAAACCAGGTCGGACCCACCATAAATGGGCTTTCTCGATCATGAAAATCTCCAAAACATTATTCTTCCTCTCTTTCAAAGCCTACCCCCTGCCCTCCCTAACCCATACATTACCTCTATAAATACACACACACACACACACAAGAAATCCCAATTTCTAGCATGAAATTTTAATTTTTGTAACATAAAAACAAATGGGTTTACAGAACCAGCTCTCCGACGTGTCATCGGAATCAATCCTAATATTAATGGTAGTCCTCATCGGAAAAAGCGCACGTTATCTCTACTCCGTTTTCTTCACTATCTTGCGCCTTTTCTCACCCCGGTTCGATTCGGATCATGCTGTTTCCGACGAAACTTTTCACGAGTTCGTGGGATCTGGCCTGGCCGGTCTAGTCCTTCTGACCGAGCAATTAAATCTGAACCGGGATTTTTTTTATACAAAAATGTTCCGTGACGGCGTTGGTGGGGCCGGTTCAGATTGTGTAGTGTGCCTGAACCAGCTGGGTGAAGGTGACCTCGTGCGCAAGTTAGCGTGCCGCCAAGGTTTTCCATAAAGAATGCTTCGACGGCTGGCTTCACCACCTCAACTTCAACTGCCCTCTGTGCCGGTCGCCCGTGGTGCCATGTGAGTCGTGAAGAACACGCGGAGGCGCGTGACTGGAGATGTCCTTGGGTGGTTCACTTTGCACTGATAGCATGTGCATGGCGTATGACGATAAGAAGATACACCATGATGATCAGATAATGTGATCAAATTATGAACAGAGGCCTTTTTATTTTTATTTTTTTCCTTTAATTTTAATTTATTTACCTCTATTTTTTGGAGTTTTTTACTCCTATTTTTGAGGAGTTTCATAAAAGGCTCTTTTCACTGTTTTTTTTTTGTAATTATTATGGAGTGCTGGTGTAAGTCTTATTTTTCACCTCAATAATAAAGACATTTTTCATATGTATAAATTGACCTTAATATCTATATATGTTTACCTAATAAAGTAAGTTAGAAATATCGATTTTCTAAAATGAGAAATTCAAATTCGAGGAAATGGTTGATCGGACTTGGCAAATATGATTCGACTTGAGGGTTGGTCATTATTAGACTACTTTCTTTGTACATGATTAAAGTTTATATGTATTTATTTATGTTAAAGCATGTTTTGCTAAGTTAAATACAAGATACTATTGTCTACATAATTTGTAGAGTTCACTTCTCATAACATATTTTATACTGCTCATAACTTATAAGCACTACCAACAAGCACTTAATAAGTCAGTTTCAACAAAATTGTGATATTTCACATTTAGTATGAATAGAATTTTGTACGTAGATAAACTTCGAAGGCACAAGTTCCCTCAGTGATTTGTCGATGTCGATGTTTTTCGTCATTAATCACCAATTTATTAACAACTGATAGTATCCATCGGAAATTATTTATGGAAAATTTTTAGCAATGGATAAGCTCGTCGGAAATTTTTATTTTGATTAAAAAGGTAAAAAATCAAATGTACGCGAAATTGCAAATAGATTGATTTCATTGGTTAGTTAACTTTTTGTAACTACACAAATTTACAAAGTTTACAACTAATTTGCTTCCATCCCAAAACTTCATCAAAACACCAAATTCAATTCACTTGGAACATTACACAAAAAACACAAAGTACATTTCACTTGGAACATGAGACAAAAAAACAAAATATATGGTCAATAGGTAGGCGGCCAACCATCGAAGTTCATGTGCTCCTTTTTTCAGAAAAGTAATTCCTTTCATTGAACATCCTAATCATCATCATCTGTTCAAACTCCATGCACTTCCTCTCTTCTTCACGTCACGTCTCTTATCTTGTATCTGCTGTTTGAACTCTATAAGCTTCCTCTCTCCTCCCATAGTCTAATAGTAGAACGTATTGGTTGACCACATCAGTTCACTATCTGATTTTCCAGGTAATGCCATCTGTTGGTAGTTTTTTCATCATAAATTACAATATCACGCTGAATTTCTTGTTCTCTC